GTGCTGTACTTCTTTACCTCTCTTCTCAGTTTCCTCCAGTCTAGCTTATAATTATTTTAGTTTACTTCAACCAAGTTAATCAATGTGCTTCTTTTCTCTCAATATGAAGAATGTTTTTAGTCTACTTATTATTAGACTTTTCAGCAGGGTTGAAATCTTGGTATACTCTCTTGTATGCTCTTCTCTTGGCTTCCCTGACACACTACTCCCTGACATACTCCTATCTCTCCACCTACTCTATTTTCCTAACTTATATAAGCTCCTTCTCCATACATGGCCAAGAATTTGGTAGTTCTTAATGGCTTGACCCTGGTTCCTTCTCCCATGCTATAATCTCTCAGTAGTCTATTTGTACATAACTAGCACATTTTCATCTTTAACCCCTTCTTCTCCTTTGAGCAGCAGACTTGAATCTTCCTTGCTTCTGGAAGGTAATTATAATCTGAAAACCTCTTGCTGATTAATTCTTATTTCAATAAACAAAAATAGAGAATTGCCATTGAAATGAGTGATGTACATTAATTTAGTAGTTAGGTAAGAATACATATGATATTCAATGTTTGTATAATAAAACATTAATGTCAAATATAGTAATGAATAATTTTTCCAAAAGGCAAATTAGAGAATCATCTCTCCCTCTCTTTTTAATAAACATCAATGGTCTCTCATTACTTTTAGCATAAGGACTGAAATTCTCAACCTGGTTACTTACCTCTATATCATCACCTTTCACAGTGCCTCCTTTACTCTATGCCACTCCAGGCCCACTGGTCTTTCATTGACTACAGCATGCTACAGCCCTTTGTATATGTTGGTCTCTGACCTAGACTATGTCCCTCCATTTTTCTCCTCATTGTAGCCTAGCAAGGGTCTGTCCTTCCTTTAGATCATCACTTCCTTGATGAAGCCTCTGATTGCCTTTACTAAGTCATGTCTTTTGTTTGTCTTTGTGTACCTCTCCTTGAGAGTTCTTATCACTGTCTGATTTTACATTTATTTTATGATTGTCTGATTATTGGTTGTAGATTTCACAAGGCCTGGAATTTTGTCTTGTTTGTTGGCAATTTTGTCATTAGACCCTAGTACAGTCAGTGCCTCCCATGTTGAAGACATTTGATATTCACTTGTGGAATGAGTGAAAGGAACATTAAGTGGAATTTCCTATTTTCCTTTTTTTTTTTTTTTTAAAGATTTTATTTATTTCTTTGACAGACAGAGATCACAAGTAGGCAGAGAGGCAGGCAGAGAGAGAGAGAG